GCACCCAGTAGGAGCTCAGCCAGCACCCTGCAAATGAACGAGGGGAGACTCTGCTCCACGGAAAATGGGCTGCTGGGGGTTTCTGATGGGTGAAGCGTGACTGCACTTCTGGCCAAAGCCTGTGGCGACGGGACAGGTGATGGCTCCGCTTTATCCTCTGGCCCCACTGTCCTCCCTCTAGGGTGTGGCCCGTGAGGGCACAGGAGGCCCACGAGCCCTTCCGGAGACCCCCGAAGTGCCTCAGGCTCGGCATGACTCAGGGGAGCCCTTTCAGAGGGGAAACTGGTTGATGACGTGGACAATGAGACCTGTGAGCTGGACAAGTGCGCAGGTCCCAACTGTGAGGCCAGAAGGGAAAGCAACCTGTTGTTGAATCCTGATGATGAGAAATTGGCTCTGCTGGGGGGAGAGCTGCGACCCCACAGAAGCCAACACTAGCTATGGACCCAAACAAACGAGCCTCCCCGCACCCTGCTTTTCTTGCATTTGTCGCTTCCCAGAGCTGGCAGCGGGCTGGGGGGGGGGGTGTCCTGTTGCTTGCAGGCCTGTGTCGGGGGGCTTCCAGTCCGCGTGCAGCTCTGTGCCCCCTCGGAGCCCCCCGCAGCCGGTGTGTGTGGGGAGGTCTGTCACGTGTGCCTCCAGGCTGTACGAGGCCGGGGGCAGCGGGTGGGCACCACGTGGCCATGTTCTCTCGGTTTGCTGCCGATGGCAAAGCCCCTTCAGAATGAAGAGGCTTCGCTCTGACCAAGCTTGAAACGATGGGTCGTGTTCCAGAAAGCTTACATGTTCCCCGTGAGCCTCACCCTCCCCGTCCTCTGCCCCCAGCTGCCACCCCTCGACAGACAAAAAGAGGTCTCTGGGATGAACTATGGGCTTGGAACAATGTCGTGGCTGCTGAACGGCTCTCTGTGCTGACCCGACAGTCCCCAGATTCCCAGCTTGCTGAACTCCCCCTCCCCTGCCTGAGGAGGGGGGTTAGGGGCTGAGTTCATGGGCATAGGGCCTTGGGGGTGCCCCTGGGGCCCTCCACACTGTACTCCTGGCCACTACCCTGGTCACCTGAGCAAGGGCCTGGCACTTGGATCCAGAGTAGACTTGGGTTTGAATTCAAATGCCAGCTTTACTAATCGTGACCCCTCCTCTTGGAAGTAGGCCTTGCAATCCTGACCAGGCCAGGCTGGGGGATGGTGGATATAGGCCCAGTATCCACTGAGGCTAAGTCGAAGCTCAATCAGAGAGGAGGCTGGGAGAGGCAGCTCCCCTCCACCCCCCACTTCCCTAGGACTGAGATAGCCCAGGGGAGACCCCTCCTGGCTCTCCCTGGGATGGTAGGGTCCTAGGATCCTAAACAGACGTCCTGAGTCCAGAGGCACCACGGAGCACTTCCCTTCCCTGGCATGGGGCAGGGGCTGGCGGGGAGGGGAGACTGCCATCTGTGCTGTCTGGGAGGGAGGCCGGAGAGTGGGGAAGGGGTCAGGGGGATGAAAACACAGGGCTCAAGGAACTGGCCTGGATGGGAGTCCTTGCCGTGCCTCAGTTTCCCACCTTTGCAATGTCCCAATAGGACTGACTGAAACAGACACCCCCAAAGACCAGGACCCAGTCTGGGCAGAAACAGCCTCAGGACCTAGACTTCTCAGGCATGGGTGGGGGCCGGGAACAGGATGGGGCAGGAATGTGAGAAACTCCTGGAGCTGCCCTGTCCTGTTCCCCCAATTGCACTGGGCGCCCAGGGCTGGGCTCTGAGGCCCTGTAGCTCAGAGCTGCTGCAGGGCTCCGCATACTCTGTCTTTAATCAAGGCCCAGTGGTCAGCAGGCTGAGGGCGGTGTCTAGGCAGGGGGAGGGAAAGGGAGAGGGAGAGCAGAAGGGGAAGGAGGAAGGGCAGGGGGCAGCCTTTCTTTGGGTCTGCTACCTGCGCCATCCCTTGCCCCAAGTCCTGTGTGCACTGGTGGCCTGGAGCTGCCAGGCTCCTGCAGGAGGAAGAGAGGGGGCCCAGCTAGAGGTGGGGCTGTCCTAAGCCAGCCTCCGCTCTGCCTCCCCACCCCCAGGGCCTGCTTGCAGACGGAGCCAATTCCCCAGGGGCCAGGATGGCATTTTCATGCGTCCTGTCTGTGCAGCCCCTAAGCCTGTGACAGTCCCCACCCTCCTCGCCACCTGCCCGTTCCTCAGCGCCCTGTCTCGGTGTCTGTGTGCTGGAGGAAACCCAGTCTCCACACATTCGTCATCCTGCAGCAAACCCTGCTGGCTCACGGTGGTCCTCCAGAGACTTCTGGACAAAGGGCCCAGGTGGGAAGGCAAGTCCCCCAGGCGACACTGGAAGAAGGACAGAAGGGCCCCAGCAGGCCGGCACACACTGCTTAAAAAACCCCGAGCTGCCTTTGGAGGCAGGTGTAGCATCTGTTGATGGACAAGCAGCCCGGGTGCAGAGAGGGCAGACTGGCCCTCTACAGGCAGGGGCCTGGCACCAGGAGAGTGCCCGTTCAGCTTAAGGCTGTGACATTTGGAGACTGGCTCCCTTGGGTGAGAATGACACCCCCTCCCTCTCTTTCCAGAGGGCAGAGGGCAGCAGGTGGGGAGGGGAGGGGTCTAGGCAGGGCGCCTGGATGGCGGCTGGAGGCCCCTTTGTGCACACTGGGTCCACAACCTGCCCTCGTGGTGTTGGCAGGAGCTGGGGAAGGCCTCCCCCCACTCCCTGGGATGGTCCAGCCCAAGATCCCCCGCCCTGGCTCCTGGCTGTGGACCCAGCCCTCCCTGAGCTGCCCACCGCCGTGTGTGGCTAGTTCTGGGGACTGAGGTTAGGGACCTGGGTGAGAAGAGAAGAAGGTGGCCGAGGAAGCCCAGGCAGTTGCTGCCCACTGGGCAGTGGGACCTCCGGGCAGTCCCAGCCTTCCTCCTTCTTCTTCTCGGGGCCTGGGACACAGAATGTCTGCCTCTGTGCTCAGATTCTGTACCCGAGAGTCCACAGAAGTGAGAAGGGGCCAGAGACACAAGGGCACGTGGTGGGCACCCCACCGAGCAGAGTCTCCTGCAGAGAACACCCAGGAAGAGAAGCTCCCACACCAGTGATGAGGAGTCCCCTTCCAGCCTCCTCCAGCCAGCCACAGGCTCAGCCTCAGCCACCACCCCTTCCTGAGGGTCCCTGGCATTCCCGTTGCCTTCCACGGCCACCAGTGGGACAACAGGCATGTTGTTTGCCTGCTGGATCAGCTTAGATGGCCAGGGGAGGATCCTCTCCCCACCTCACCCCCACTTCCAGCAGCAAGTACAAAGGGCAGAGGGTCCCCTCCCAGCAACTCTGTTGGGGGGGGCAGCCCATGAACCAAGTGGATGCCCACTCCCAGCACCCGGAATTTACATGCAAATTAGCTATGCAGATTATGCACACACACAGGGGCCCGGCCCAAAGTATCACCGCCTGGGACCCCTCCCCGTTTACCCCCTCTTCCTGCTCCCCTCCATCTTACCCATTCTCCCCAGGCCGGAAGTGGGGGGTGGACCACAGGGCTGTGGGCTGCTGCTCGGCTGGAGTGCAGGGCTGTGTCTAGCAGGGCTGCGAGCCCAGGCTGGGACTGTGGGGAGCGGTGCCCGAAGAGCCCCGATAGCACGCTGAACCCCTCACTCCCACATCCCTGTGGTCTCTGGCTGGAGGCCCGCCCCGGAGGCCTGGAACCCTTGCTGAGAGCCTGGTTGCAAGTGTGAGTGTCTGTGAGCACAGCCACAGCATCACAGTGAACAAAGGTGGAAAGGATCTGTAGATGTGTGTGTGTAAGTGTGTGTACCTGTTGGGGAAATTGGTGTGTTGGATGACCCTTTGTACATGTGTGTTTTTGTGAGTGGGTGACCAACAGCTCCTGATTCCTGACTTGTGGGACCCGGCACGTGTACTTGAGAGGATTCGGCGTGTGGTTGTGTGTGGATGCATAAGGGTCCATGTGTTCCGTGAGCGTGCCTGTGTTTCCACATGACAGAGGTCTTGGTTTCGTGCGACACGTGTGTGGGTGTGTGATTCAACACGAGTACCGGTGTCCGCGTGCCCATGAGCGTGTTTGTATGTTTCCACGTGCACGTGGCTTGGAGCAGGCTCCTGTGTGTGCTGGCCTGCGGGCCGGGCTGGGCTGAAGGCCGCCCGTCTCCCGACTGTGTGTCCCCTCACCCTGTCTCCTCCGGGCTGTTTCCACACACACCCTGTACCGCATTGTGTGTGCGCTGCAGTGTGTTACAGTTTGTGCTGCTTGGTGTGTGTTGAAGTGTGTTTCCGTGTGTGCGCTGCAGTGTGTGTGCTGCAGTGTGTGTTGGCTACAAGTGTGTGTGTTTCCCCGAAGCTTTATGGCCAGGACTCCGTGTGCACCAGGCGTTTCAGAAGTGTTTTTCTGGGTGCGTGCGTATTTGTGTGCGTGTCCCACGTCCTTATGGTGTGTGCGTGTGTGTCTTACGGGCTGGGTGACTGCTGACATGTGTGCTGGGACCTTTGCAGTAAGTGTCCGGACGTCGTTTTCCGTCTCCAAGTGCGGACTGCGTCTTTCTGGGGTCCGCGGCCCGGCCATGGTGGCTTCCCGCGACCTGGCCTCCGTGTGTGTGCGCCGTGTGCTGTCCTGTGTGCGCAGAGTGTGTAACCGTGCTCGGGGTACCTGTGCCCGTGTGCCAAGCGTGCCCCGCGTGTGCGAGCGGCTTCCGGACGCCGCAGCGGTGGGGGGGCCCGCGAGGGGCGGGG